TCCTTGTCCAGCTGATGCCTGTGGCAAAGTTCCTGCTGATTTCAGTGGTGCCAGGACTTGACATGAGAAATCTGTTACACCAACTAGACCGCAAGAAAGGCACAAAACGCTGCAGTGATGACCTGCTTTATCTGAATTACCTGGGGCATCTGTTTTTTGGAAAGGCACTGCTATTTACTGGGTATGCAGAACAAAACCAGGAATTTGGGAGTGACACCTAAGCACAACTGTGATAAAAGACTGCAAATCACTCATAATAAGGACACCAATTAATAATATTAGTGACTTGGCTAGAGTTTGAAGTGCCAAGCCAGGAGAATTCTTGTGGATGCACAGCAAGTGAAGCAGTGTTAGAAGGGAGGACAGAACTGATCCTGTGATGAATGATACGAGGCAGGAGAGATGTTCTCTGTAATGTACTACGTCTGCTAGTGCTCAGGTGTCCGCTTGCTTCAGACATGCAACAGTGCTGCTACCTTGAGGCCCCTGAGCACAAGCACACTGCTTTTACAGCTTACAATCAGATGAAGTGTGACAGGCAGAGAATATCAAGTCTAAACAGACCTCGGCCACCTCTTTTCTCACCTTGCATCATTTACTTCCATCTTTCTATCCTTAACTGCTTTTTAATTTACTGCTTATCTAGGCAGCATTTGAAGAATGTCCCAGCCCGCTCTGGATGCAAACAATCAGTTGAACATGACCATGAATCTTCTGTTAGGAAAGCTCACGTGGCTGTCTGGAAGTATCCTCATCTCCAGATGTTTAAAGGAGTTGGAGCAGCTATGAGTCCTTGGCAAGTCCTACTATGGGTCCTTGGCAAGTCACTCAGAATCCCACTGGCTCCCAAGGACCAGTTGCATGAAGACAAGTGATCCCTAGCTCTTTTTGCAAGCCAAGCCTAAAACAATTTTAAACTGTGGTCGTTTCCTTCAAAGATATCCCTTCCCTGAGGCAGAGATGATCCCCCTATGAACGCAGGCCATATATCACAGAGTGCCAATTTCCTGGGCCAAAAGCCTGCTTCTGATGTCCCTCTTCCTAAAGGGTCCCTCAGGTGCCAGGGCAAACGAACTGTCGTGGCAAAGCACAGTCTTCTCTCCTGCAGAAGAGATGAAGGCTTGTTGACTGCACATGGCTACTGGAGCTGATCTGCACACGCAGAGAGAATCTGGCACTGCTGGGATGCATCAAATCTTCCCTGTGTGCCTACCTCGTGTATATTGCTCAGGCAGCTTTGGAGAGCTCTGGTGCACCGTCGTCTCCTGCTGGTACAAGATGATCTGAGAGCTGACCAGCCAGTTGCCCGCTGAGCAATCCACCGAGAAACCGTGTAGTATTGGCAGATGGGTAAAAGCCACAGCTTGTCGAAGGAAAATGAACAAAACCAAGAAGGGCACTTGTTAATATTATAATTTGTTTGTTGCTATAGATCCAGTGGCAAATTCTCATTTCTCCTTGATCTGAAGTCTTATCACCAAAAGTCATTAAGAAGCGGGGTTCTGCATTTATATACATTTTAGTTTTTATGCAATAAAAAATCCTCACAAAATATTTTTTTAATAAAGGCATAGGCCACAGAATTTAACACCAGCACTGCATAAGCTGAGCTATTCCGGAAACCGTAAATGAGAGTGCACCTTTAACTTTGAATTTAATATGTTTTTTTTATTTTATTATGCTCTAGACATCGTTATAACAATTCAGACTGAATTGCAAGCAGTAGAGAAAAATGTGATCAGAATTGGAGCAGAGGATTAGATACACAGACCTTAGCGCTCCTGATGGTTACTCATTGATTATTTTGGGCATACATTGTATTGATTATGGTAATGAGAAAGCCCATTGACAGGCTGCAGAGAGACAGGCAGGCTTCCCAGGCCAGCATCTGTACAGCTGAATACCATTTGCAAAGCACTGCTGGAATTCACACAATTATGAGCAGATATGGTTTCCATCCCTGAATATCCCAGTACATCTGGACCACTGATGAGAGTGCTTCATCAGACAGAGCTCTGCATTTCACACATGGAAAAACTGAGGCAGAGGAAGACCCACCATGCACTAAGGAAGTCTCTGGCAGAGCCCAAACTGATCTCAGATTTTACAACAGATTTTACAAACTGAACTCAGATTTTACAACTCCCTAGCCAAGGCCTGTTACAAAAGAGCATCTTTCGTCAATACTGAATGCCTCCGATCACATTGTTTTTATGCTGGGGGAAACCAATTTTTCAGTGTAACCTTTGTCAACGGTGAATTTATGAGAGGCTGATACTGAAAAAGTTATGAACTTCTTTTGCCAATCTCTATTGTGACTCCTGGGAAAATAGGTCAGCAATTTTTCATAGGGATGTTCTGAGGACAGATACATGAAAGATTATAAGATACTCAGATAGCACTGTATAAGACAGCAAATGAAAGCCAAAGTGCAATTGGAATTCCACAGCAAACATTACCCAGCATTGTAGCTGTTGTGTACTTTGCTGCTGCGACCAAGCTGATATTTCTCTTGACATCCTAGTTCTTGCAGTCATGTCATTAAGTGTGAATTTTCACTTTCAATTTCTAATCATTGCAGAAGAAAGAAAGGGTTTTTTAGCATCTGCTATCATATTTTAGCACAAGAGAAGAAAGACCTGTAGCTTTGGCTTTATAATGCTAGTAAATAGTTTGTGCCTGCTTTACTTAGCAGAAGGTTACACAACATTAGTGCAGAATGAAAATGTCATGCCAGGCAGAGAGACAACTGTGGCTTCAGTACAAATTCTTTTCAGACTATAAATATAGATCTTTCCCCATAATTGCAATACAATCTCGATCTGCCTGTGGTGATAAAAGGAAAAAAAAAAAGCTGTTTAATTTAATTAGAGTCCATTTGAAAACCTAGTAGCATGAAATAATTTGATACACAGGAATAATGCTCACCAGTTACAGATACCATTTTGTTGTGTCTTATCTTGGGATAACAGTAACTGTTATATTTCAGACTTTAAACTGTATAAACAGTGTGACTAGAGATAGCCCCAAGAACATTTACAATGACGTCAGAATATTACCACTTATTCAGTGCCTGTTCTCTGTCAGGCAAAGATGCTAAAAATGCTGCCAGAGTAGCATCCACCCTTGAGGAAACTTATAGCTAATTCACATCCATCCACTCAGAGCCAGTTGTGTTCCCCAACATAAGCATCGCCCACTAAAGACTCCTCTTCTTGTGGGTAGACCACTGCTGGTAATAAGGGGGGCAATGCTATATGAAAAATGCCCTAAATGTAGTTGTAAGGTATAACATTAAGGAAACTTCTGATTCATTCTACAGCAGGTCATGACTAGAGGTAGACAAATGTAGGACTGAATCAAAAGTCTAGAGACAAGCTAGCAAAAAAATGTTCTTTTTTTTTTTTTGACAAAAATCTTGCAGGGAAAATTCTTCTACTCAGATTTTCTATGAATATGTTTTTTCTCCTTTTTGCTTACTGCTTTGCTTATTTTTGTCTAAGGAAAACTGAAAATCCTTAAGAGAACAAAGTTGCAGCAAACCAAAATATTACCTGCTATTGAAAAATGATCTTTTCTTTGTTTTTACTAACATATTTGGCTTCCACTACCTTTTTCGAGTTTTGAAAAGCAGAGAAACAAATGCTATTACCACACACTCTTCTACTGCTTTGGCATTTTCTCTTGCAGAAGTAAACAGTACAAAAGAAAACACAGCCTTTCTCTGAAGATAAGAGGGAGCCAGCTGATTATCTAGGATGATCTCTTGTATATCACAAGCATTATATTTACCATGATATCTCTCTACTGAGTCCAGTAATTTCAGCTAAATTAAAGCATTTCAAGCTCTTATGGCTACACTGTGGTTTGCCACAGAAAAGAGATTTGCAGATTTTTTATTTTACTACTAGTAATGTGAAGATAGGCAACCCCCTCCCACACTACTTACCTTTGAAAAGAAGCAAAACCTGCTTCTGTGTGACACCAGAACTAAAGATGTAGAAATTTGCTTTCATGTATGAGTATGTGAGAGACTATATATGTGCACAGGAGCTAAAGCTACCGGAGCTTTCCCAACTATGAGGCAGATATACACAGGAACTAAATCTATAAAAACAGCTTTTGTGTGCATTTCTGTATGTGGATGTGTGCCAGAAAGATGCAGAACTTAAACCTATAAAACACTGCGTGTGCTTGTGAGGAAAAGACAAGGGATGGGGTTTAAGTCTATTATAAATACCTTATGTAAGAGACAGGGGCAGAGAGATTCAGAGGATAAAAATGTAGAACTCCTCTTTATGTCATGTGAGGGACCTGTCATACTAGTGGCCTCTGAGACAGGCGAATCATCCCCCTTTCTTACTTTCTATTCCCTCATTTTAGTGTGTAGATCACTTCAGTCAAATCTAAGATTTCTAAGATTAGAAATTCACTGAATCCCAAACATGGTCTAATCTGCAGTGATGTGAAGAGTATGCAATTTAGAGCCCGACGTGGCAGACATACCTTGATGAGCACACTGGCAAGGGGCTGAGATTCTCCTTCCACAAAGATTACATGTAGCTCTTAGGATCTAAGGTCGCTTCTCACACTTACCCATAGCAGTCTTTTTCGGTGTGCTCTGAACAGAGCCATGCATTGCTCTATCAATAGGGAAAACAATTTCCAGCACCAGGAACTCCCTTTCCCCAAGCAGCCAGACTCGCCGTGTATTAGCCAACAGTGAATAAAAAGGGGCACAAACATGGCTGAACTGAACATCTGTACTGAGTCTGAACAAAAGCTTGCAAATGCTGTTTATGAAATCCTGAACCATCTCCTGCCACTGCCTGCCAATGTGGATGGCACTGAGCAAAGGAGAGTTTCAGATCATTACTCATACATTATTATTAATTATTACTATTTACACTGTGCTCAGCATCTGACAGTCTCAGCCAGGGAACAGAGATTCCACTTTGTCATCTCCAGCTACGGGTGTTTTTCTATCACTCACAACATACCTGGGATAAGGCCGTGAAGTGTTGAAGTGGATCCAGTGTTGCAAGATATTGCTGATTCCTAGGTTAAAAACATAAAAAATAAAAGGCATCAGATTCATACACTTGTTGCCCATGGGGAAAAACAAACAGAAATTGTATTAACATCTGCAGACCAGGCTGGGGCGGACACGACTGGGTGATCATGCAGTTTTTTTCCCACTCTCAGTTTCCAGTTTCAAACCCTGTCCCAAGGAGATGGTTCAGAAACGGTTCGGGACATTACAGAGGTGAGGGTGCAGCACAGACCACAACGCTGCTGTTCATCATTTCTGTTTTGAAAGCACCCGGAGGCCTCAGTCAGCACCAACACAGGGAGCTCACTGCCTGGGGGAGCAAACCTGCTGAAGCAGCACTGGTGTGGCTCAGCTGGGATGAGCTGAAACTGGACAGCAGGTCCAGCAAACTGGCACTGCTTCTCCCTCTGTCCTCTCTCCTTTCCCAGTCTTCCCAGCCAGCTTCCCAAGCCCTTCGGACCAGAGGCTCCAGCACAACTGCAATTCCTCCACACAGCCTGCAAACGTGCCTTATCCCTCCCCGCCTCCTGCCAAGTTGCATCTACATAAACCTGTATTTGTCTCCGACGATAGCCCAGTTTTCTCTCTTTATTTATCTACCTGTCGACTCTTTTTACAATCTCTCTCTGGACAGCCACAGAGCAAGAGACAGAACCAGCTGCTGTGGCATGCACTGAATGCCAACTAGCTTGGTGGAGTGTGCGAGCGTCCTCATGCAGTGGAAAGGTCCTTTTGTAAACATGCCTTGTGATCAAAGGGCTGATGCTTGCTCATATTTTCAATATTAATAATCTCCCAGCTGCCTCCCTCCATTCTGTCTACCTGTTTACCTATCCTTCATAGTTGACACTGAGGCAGAGCTTAAAACAATAAGCCAGTTGAAGGCAAGGAAGTTTTTTTAAAACAGTAATTCACACGAAGAATAATCCATATTCAGACAGAAATGCATCAAATATGCATAAAATCGCTGTATTGTCATATCCTGCATCTGGCACCGAGCAAGAGTCATCTAAAGACATGCGCACGCATACATCCAAAAATAATGCATATTTACATCCACACCCCTACAAAATCCACGTACTGCATACATGTTCACGTGCCTTGTGCATTCACACCTCCTTCCCCATCCATTATGCAGATATATACAGAAGCTGAGAATCGCAAGAAGCGCGTCTCATCAATAAAGCTGACAAATAACCACCCAAAATAAATGCACTTGCAAGCTACTCCCAGCAGAAGACAAGCAGGTGGCTATTTTTTGTGATGATTTGTATGTTTGCAAAAGGGTAGCAAGGCTAAAGAAAGCCAAGAGAGAAACTAAGCAGGGACAGAAATAGCACAAGGAGCAAGGCTCTAAAAGACAATGAAGGGAGAGTATTTGGGCCAAGTGCTGGCTCAGAAAGCCCTGAAGATGCAAGGAAAAGTTATTTTCTGTTGCTTAACTCCTGCTGTGCCCTTTGAAGCAGGACAGGGTATGTTCTTAGTCAATCACCAGGATGGCACCAGAGCTCCCTGTTTCCGCTGCCAGTCTCTCCTCCTAACACATGTCCTTTTGCTCAAGGAGAAAGCCTTAATAAAAGCTGGGTGTAAGCTATGCATACACCAGGAAAATGTCATCTGTCACTGAAATGCAGCCAGTACTGGCAGGACGAGCAGCAGACCTTACAGCAGCACACTGCCAGACAACCGAGCAGTTGAGCAGAGGCTGTAAAACACACCACATCTGCCTGAAACTGTGGGGGTGATGTACACTGAGTGGGAGGGATCCAAGCAGACACAGCTCACGGAGGTGAGCACCTCTCAACGCAGACAGCTGAACCCTGCTGCCTGCAAGCTGCAGCAAAGCCAGTTCCTTCACTCCCGTGCAGAAGGGTGCTTCCAGCAAGTGCATTTCTATAAAATTTTCTATCATTTTCTTGCATTGTGGAGACGAAACATGACCTACTGCAAAGATACCTGACCAGGAGTGCGAGCTGTTGGAAACAAGCTCTGGTTTTGATCCATAAAAGCCTGACAATGCCACAAAGATAGGACTGCACTGACTTGCCAGCAAGGGTGAAAATTTATCACTGCAAATGTTTTGCTTTCCTTCTTTTTGGTATTTAAGGGCTTTCTAAACTCAAAGGTCACAGAAAACTGCTGAGAGGAATCGCAAGCAGAGAAAATGTTTCCAAAGGGAAGAATCTTTGTGTAAGAAACACATGCCTAGACTGACAAGAAATCACACCCGTGGCTTTGTATCATCCCAGGATCGTGCTACGTGCTGGCTGGCAAAATGAGCTCCATTTTCAGATCCCACTCTAGTGGCTGCATTTCTTGGTGTAATCCACTGAGAGTTTCAGGCCATCTAAATGCCGGTTTTATCATCACATCTCTAATATATGCAAAGCACAGTGATTTTATCTCTTGCCGGGATTGTATTGCTAGACTTGCACTTTTGAAGCCTGCTTATATAGGTTAGGATCTCACGTCTTTGCTTCCTTCCTTCCTTTTTTCTGGCTGAGCAGAGGCTGGTCCCTAAGAAGCCTCACCGCACTTAATGGTGAAACATCTTCTTCCAGGGCTGGCAGATGGGGAGGGAGGAGAGGTGCAGTGTGAAGTGCCAACATCTGCTCGCTGCTCAGCTTTACCTGTGCTGTGCTCACAAGGCAGACCCCGTGGAGGGAGGCGAGGAGAGGATGCTATCGCTAGCAGTTTACTCCAAGATGGTTAAAGTGCGGAAAAGCAGGGCAGCTTGCTTGGGAATGCAGTGGGATTTTTTTTTCTTCAGGTGAGTTTAGTCCTGGTGAAAGGCTTCTGACTAGCAGCCCAGGGACTGAAATTTGATAAATTTGCTGAATTGTACAGAGAAGGCAGAGCTAGCTATCCCTGGCCCCCACAAAGCTCCCTCTGCAGGTGAAAGAGGAACCAAGCTCTTTCTGTACTGCTTTTCTAATACATGGAAAATGTTGCATAAACCCCCACTGACCAAGTGCACATTTACTGGGAGAAAAAAAAGAGGCTGCAGCCCCGTGCATACTCGTCTTCCACCACGGCAGGTGCTCACCGTGCTGTACATGGCAGCAGGCACCAACCGAACCCTCCTAACACATCCACCTTGCCACTGCTTCGTGCTGCGAAGATATGAGAACCTGTGAATACATAAAATAACATCGTGGGGGAAGGGAGCAAGGGAAGAGCGTCACATCTATGATGAATACAGGTTAATTATTACTTTTTTTTTTTTAATGCATAATTAAGCTGTGGAATTCACTAACAGATAAAACAGAGACCGAGAGGATTTTAAAAAGAACTCGCATAAATACTAAGCTTGGCCACAGCTGCTAGAAAAGATAAAGAAAAAGCATTAGGGGAAAGATCCCTCTCTGCAGCCAGGCGCCTGCCAGCCACTTAGACAGGACAGAGGATTAGCTAGACCCTGCGACTGGACTCGTGCAGCACTCCTTATGCTCCTGTTTGCTTCCCTGCCCTCTCCATCCCCAGTGCTCTCGCCGGGTGATGCTAATAAGGAACCTGATTAACATTCAAGGACCAGTTGTGCCAATTAGGCCCTGGCACACAGCGGGGCTGGGTCCAAGCACTCACACTGCTCCTCCGGCTGCCAAGTGCCTCGTGGCCACTGCGGAGCACAGGAGGGAGCAGAGGACGTGCTCCCACAGCCAGCCAGGGCAGCAGGCAGGCACAAAAGGGCCAGGAGACCCAGGTCTGAGCCACCTGAGAGAGGCTGGATCCCTGCAGGCTGGGAGCTCGACCCACGCATCACTGCATGACTTGGGAGGGAGGTGCTGGAGCGTGTGTCCGCGCTGTTCTGGGGGCCTGCAGGGCACTGCTGGGGACTGGCACGTCCTGCTCCGAGAGCCCAGCCCTGCAGGAAGATGAAATCTCTTTGCAGTTCACAGAGCAGGAGTTACAAAGGCAGCCTGGTAACCGTATTTTCTGCCAGACTGCTTGTGGCAGAGGCGTGGAGGACTTCTGACAACGAGGCAGCCACCGTCTGCTTCGGACCTGGACAGAGCTGTGTTGCTCGCAGCCAGAGAGATGAAAGTCTTCTTGGCTCGCCAGCCAGTGCCGGCAGGAGGAGGGCATGATAGGAGGAGGGACAGAAGACTCCAAAGCAGCTATAAATCATAGCAGACAAATCTTCGGTGCTGTGGAACATAATTTATCATTTCTGAAGGAAAAAAACGGAGGCCCCATCCCTCCTGAATGACTGAAGGATGGGCACTGAGGGTGTGCGGCTGCTGGTGGTGAGATGCTTTTCTTCTCAGCCTTGGTGCTCTGCAGTCACAGGAACATGTCAGGGAGTGGAGACGGAGCAGAAGCTTAGCCTTCAAAGGGCAAGAGAGGATCTCCTTACATGCAAATGTACCAGGAGATGATGCTGGATGGAAATAGAGCTATTTCCTCACTCCTGAATGTCAAATGGAATGAATATCAGGAATAGAGGTCATGCCATGAAACAACAGAGAAGGTCTGTGACAGAGCACAGAAACAGAATAAACAACGCGTACCCTTCCTCGATAGGTCATTCTGACTGCAGAAAACAAGTAGAAAAAATGTGCAGTGTGATCATCAGATTATTTATCTTTTGAAATTCTTCAGGCAGCAAGCAAACAATTAGGACTTTGCAGCGAACTAGTATCAGAAAATGACACATCCCTGTCCTGCTTGGGTGAATAAAATATGTCCTGAAATAGTTCCAGTCTCATAGCAATGGCTCATAGCTATCACGAATGCCAGTCAGGGTTAAATCTCTTCCTCTTCAATTATTTTTTCATAAATTAAAACCCAAATGACAATAAATCATGCTATAAAAATTAAAATGTCATTTGCTTTTATCCAAACTAAAATTAAGCCATACACGCGCTGAAAGCATAACAAAGAAGAGGGAAAGAGACAGACAAGGATGATAACCATTTATTCCTACATGCTGGTACAGCCGAGATGAGTCACAAGGTCTGCAGCTGGAACTGGATCACAGGACTCTCAGACTTGATGCTCTGCT